TGAGCAGCTTGGTGGGGAGCAAAGGGGTTAAGAGCGGTGTCACACCCAAAGAGATGCCACGCCGCCGTCCTAATGCTGTCCACCGGCCTAATTGAATATTGACGTTCTGCACATGAAGGCTAAATGGCTTCTGTCTGCTTCACCTCCACTGCCGGCCCGGGCTGTGGAGTTTTAACCTGTTTCCACTGTTTGATTCCTGGGGGGATCATTAAATGTCCCTGTTACCATGGTTACTGGCTTTTCATCCTTTTGATGCAGCGTTTTGTTTTGTTTTGTGTGTGTGTGTGTGTGTGTGTGTGTGTGTGGCATTTGGAGCTGCCGATGTTTGAGTTGAACAAGGCGTTTTTTTTCTTCACTAAGTTTTTCATTTCAGTTTCAGTGTAGTTTGCTGATGTTCTGCCTCTTTTTCTGGAGTCAGCACACTGATGTACCACAAACACAACTTCTAGAAGGAGAGGTTTCATTGTTGTCTTTCCATATCTTCTCTCGTTTAAATGTCGTTTTTGCAGAACAACTCCTCTCTTTTTTTCTGTCTTATTTCAGATCATCACCTCTTTCCTCTTTTTTTCCTTTTTCTGCATCTATTTCTGCGTTATTGTTTTACTTCCCACTGTGCCTGCCTCTAGACGCTGCTCCTTTGTTGCCACGACGACGCACTCCAGATGGCGAGTGTCAAGACTGGGCTCCAAATGTAGTCTGATCATAACACACACACGCAGACATTAGTCCACATATATTCACGCTGAGAACAGACTGAGACGCAGGCAGCGTACATTCTGTTCGGCACTCACATCCTACTCAGATGTTGGTGGACCTGCGCTCTGCCCACTGTACACACTCGCTCAGCAGTACAGTATAATAAAATCTATGTCACAGCCACACAGGAAATAGTCTCTCCTTTATGTGACCAGGATGTCATTAATCTTGGCGAGGTTAACAAATGCACTTGCATGGAAGGTATATTTCATGGGCAGACAGCCGACAATGGGGCCATTGTGACACTGAGCTGCAGCGCCCTGCTCTGCGTTCAGTCAGGACCTTTTGGTTGGCTCCGGCGCTGTGGCTCATGCCGGGGATTATGTTTCATCTCCCAGATGAATGTTTACGGGGGAGAAAACACATGAAACACGGGCCGAAATCTGTGTTCCAGCTGTTTATTTATTTTTGCTGCAAGAAACCACAGTTTGTTTTTCTGAATGGGGCGAAATAAATGTGTTTGGCCATTTTTCAAAGTTTGGCTTTTCATTATTAGTCAAAATCAGAGCCAGACAAATACCCTGCCAGTGCTTTCTGCTTTCAGCCGGCTGACTGGGCCAGCTCAGTTCTGCTTCCCTGCTTTCCAAGTTTTTCCGCAGCAGCGCTATTTCCATCCGAGAAGTGGCAAATCTTCCCAGTAATCCATTAGACTTCCATTAGCTCTGATTTGTGTGATTAGTTCTAATTAATCAGTTCAGTCTGTGGCCCTGACTCCCCTGTGCTCTCCTTACATTTAATTTTTAACCGCATTTCTCAGCTCTCCACAGAGCAAGAGAATGAGGCAAAGACTGAGTGAACAGAGCAGTGAGCAAGCTTCAGGTCCGATGCCACTGCAAATCCAAATGGGTTGAGTTGGTTCTTAAACCACATGGTGATGCTCTTTTCACTGAATTATCAGGTTTTTGTGTGTGTGTCTTATTTTCAGCAGTGAGAGTTTAGGAACTTGGATGTGTTTTAAAATGAACCAAGAGGGACAGTGATCTAGTGATTTACACATCTGGAGTCTTCTGTGGCTCTGGTTAGCCCCACTCAGCCCTCCTGTGGAACAGTAACTATTGATTAATGCTGGAGCGTCCATCCGTCACTGTAACAAAGCCTGTTGATGTTTGTGCAGCCCTGATTTCCCCTCAGTCAAATATCATATGCAGCACCATCACTAAGTGACTCAAAGCCATGGCCTGTCCCAAGGTAACCTGCGAATCACAGAGCCAGCATCATCTTTTCATCGATGCCTCTCTGCTGCTCTGTGCTGCAAACCTCCAAGTAAAATTAAAATATTTTCTGGGGGTGTAGCAGTTGTTCAGTTTATATACTGAGGTATTATGTGATGATAATCCGTCTTCCTTTCCTCTCTTGTCAAACTTCTTTTACCATTACCACTATTGTGATAAATGAAGGCTCAATTTATCAACCAGCCTCTACTCGATTTCTTTTTCTCCCCTCAGTTTCCCCACCCCCACTCCTACGTTTAACCTCTGTACAGTTCGCTTTATATCTTCATCTGTTTCCACCCATCCGCATCCATCCACCCATCCATCCTTCATTCCCACTCAGCCAGTCGAGGCTTTCTTTGTCTGCTGGAGAAGGTTGAGATGCTGCCTGTCACCCAGACCTGCAGGCTCTCATCCAGTCTGCCGGAGGTGGCCCAGCTGCTGTCAATCAATCTGTAGCTGGGTAACTGAGGGGGTGGGGGCTGACACAAGATGTGGCTTCCTGCTGTTTAGAAATCTACTTATGTATAGTGTTAACTTCTAAAAGTGAACTTGATTGTAACTCGGACTTTAAGGTCTAGTGCATCAAACCAAGTGCAGATAAACATGGTTTTCACTATGATCTGTTTTTGTTGATGTATTAGGCACTTTGACTACACCAGGCTGTATTCTGATAATCTGGTATAATCATTATATTTATATTGGCAATACAGTGGGGCAAATAAGTATTTGATACACTGCCCGATTTTTCAAGTTTTCCCACTTACAGAGAATGCACAGATCTGTAATCTTCATCGTAGGTACACCTCAACTGTGAGAGACAGAATCTACAAACAAATTCCAGAAAATCACATTGTTAGATTTTTAAATCATTTATTTCTATTTTATGGCATGAAATAAGTATTTGATACACTAGAAAAATAGACGTTAATATTTGGTACCGAAACCTTTGTATACAGTTACAGAGGTCAGATGTTTCCTGTAGTTCTTGACCAGGTTTGCACACACTGCAGCAGGGATTTTGGCCCACTCCTCCATACAGGTCTTCTCCAGATCTTTCAGGTTTTGGGGCTGTCGCTGGGCAACAC